AGTTCATCCCAAACCAACTCGATGGGGTTTAAGTCTGGAGACTGTGGAAGACTCCATGTTTTCAAGCTTGACTTCTTGTTCTTTTTTCTTGAGGTAGTTCTGGCATAGTTTGGACTAATGTTTTGGGCCATTATCTTGCAGTAGGATGAATCCCTGACCAACTAGCTGCATACCAGAGGGTGTATGGCACTGCAGAATGCTGCAGTAGCTGTTTTGGTTCATGGTGCCTCTCACTCTGTACAAGTCACCGACCCTGGATCCAGCAAAGCAGCCCCAGACCATCACACTTCCTCCTCCGTGTTTGACAGTTCATGCCACACACTGTGGAGGCATCCTTTCACCTACTGGATGGCGTACAAAGATCCTGAGTGATGAACCAAAGATTTCATTTTTTGATTCATCAGTCCATAATACCTTCTTCCAGTCTTCGGTAGTCCAGTGATGGTGTTTCATGGCCCAGGCAAGCCTCTCCGTCTTATTCTGACGTCTTAACGATGGCTTTCTTGCTCCAACTCAAAGTCTTCGCTTCACAGTTAAAACTAAGACTTGCTTACTATGACATGCTTGAAGCTGTAGTCCTGTGAGCCACCTATCACGCAAGCTGTTTACTCTCAGAAACTTGTCCTCTGATTCAGTTGTATCTTTGGGTCTGCCAGACCTCTTCCTCCCAGAGTTTGCCCCAGTTCCTGAGTGCCTTTTGATGGTGAAAGAAACTGTACTCACTGACACCTTGACTTTCTTTGCAATTTCTCTGCAGGAAAGACCTACATTTGTAAGTGTTATGATGGTCTGTCTCTCTACCATTGTTAATTGCTTTTTCTCACCATTTTTGTAGCAACACACTACGAGGGTATGGTATCACAGTGTGCTCCAACACTGTTTGTATGCAGACAGAGGGGTTCTAAGTAGTCCAAAGAAATTGGAACACCTGTAGGTATTAGTAGCACCAGCTTTCAAGGCTTGATCAACCTCCACTGCTGCAGAACAGCTTTAAATTGTTAACCTAGTTTGCGTTCCCTGAAAAGGCCTTTTTGTATAATTCTGAAATGTACATTATTTTTCAGTTTTGAGTAACCTTACAGTTTTTTTTTTAACTCTGGCAGTTCACCGCTTACCTTTTTACCATTTCAAGCTGTTCATTAGACTTCAAAGTGAATTGCAATAAATAACTGAAAAAAATAGAGTTTTCTAAAAATTTTGACTGGTATATGGAGATGAAAGAGCATTTAAGTAAAAAATAAATGTTGTCACTTTTTTCTGGATTCTATAAGACACAGAGTACCGAGCAAAGCTGCTAACACAGGAGTATTCTTATCTGCTTTTATTTTCCCAGTCAGTAACGTGCCTGCAGCATTTGGACTAATTGTAAACAAAGCAAAAGACGATTCATCAGTTCCAGTTTACAGTCGTTTAAAGTAGCACAGTTTGGTTGTAACAAAGCCTTGAAGAACTTTTTCTAGATGTCATTGATTTAGAAAAAAATTAGTCTGAGGTGGAAGAAATAACTCTGTAAATTACAAGCAACCTCCCGATAAGCTGCAGGCTTAAAAAGATGGATGTAGCTGCAAGGTCTTAAACGTGAAGCCAGTACAGAGGTGCCCTACACCATGACTCCTTTAGTAAAAAAAAAAGAAGAAGAAGAAGAAGTATAGTAGCATAAACATATAAACAACACGCTCTTTGGTAATATTCATGCTAATTTTCTATTCATGACTTGAATTGATATTTTCAAAACGTTTTATAATATAAGTTCTATTAAAGAATCTGTTGTCAATAATCACAGATAATAGGCACTTTATTGTCTATTCATCTTGCAACTACAATGGAGATCTACAGGAGTGACAGATAAAACGAACTGTTGTCTCATCCACTTATGTTGCAGGCTCCATAGAAAAAATTCTGAATGTATTAAAACGATTCTTAATTATTTGAAAGGAAACAACATTTTCTTTCTTTCCTCCGTCCATCCGTCCATTTTCTCCTGCTTATCCAATTGAGGGTTCTGAGGGAGTTGGATCCTATCCCAGCTGCTGTAAGGTGACAAGACGGGGTAGACCCTGGACGGGTGACCAGTATATCGCATAGCTCCATATTGTTCCATGATACTATAATATATAAAATATACTGCTTGTGTGTCCTGCTGATCACAGTGTTAGGCATTACTTGCTGTCTTTATCTATCACCATTAATCTGCCCCTGCCCCTCAACCATACCCCAGTTTTGACTCCTTGAAAGTTAACCTTTGACGTACACTCTGACTATAGCTCTGTGAAAATACCAGCTCACACTAGTCATCATTAGATACAATTGTGTGCTTGTCATGTTAGAGAAGACTTAGTGGTGAATATCTGAATCTTGATCTCTGAGTAGTGCAACAACACAGAGGTGCCTGAAAGGAAACTTCACAATGCAGCATTGTGAAGGCAGCGACAGGCCTCATTAGCTGCACCGCATCCTGGTTATCTGATCTCCATGCAAAGGCTGACTTATACCAATGATTGAGACTCGTGACTCACCTGAAGATCAAAGGCAGAGTGTCAAACTACATGCCAAAGCCACATTTCATGACAAAGCAGTAAGAAAAAAGTGCTAGAGTGTGAAACTGGAGACCCTTATTTGAAATGGGAGCTTTTCTGGTCAGTGTTAGTCAGCAGTGATCATCTGCAGGTAATGAGATTTGTTTTCATGATCTGTGAGTGAGGAATCTAATGAAAGTTATACTGCAGGTATTATAAGGTCAGACTGACTGTCAGTAGGGGAATTTGAGGTGAAGTTTTGAACTGTGGTTTTCTCCTTTGTCTCCTGTTATGTGAAACCTAAGAAGGCTCATCTAATGCCTTGATTCATTCTCATGCACCGAAAAACAATAATCTCTTACACAAATCACCCACCTGATACTACTGAGTGATGGTTTGAATTAAGCACGCCCTTAAAGATTATTTAACTCAATAAAGAGAACCTTCAGGGAACCAGAGAGACACTGTGAAAAATCACGACAGCATAAAACATTGTGTTAGAATCTTGGGAATCATGTTTGAGTCTTATTCAAAATTGCAAGACAATATAGTTCACAGTGTTCATGTACACTTGATAAATGCAAGTCCATTATTTCACCTCTTTTTATATTGGTTTGAAAAAAAAAAAAGAGTTCTGCGCTAAGAAACTGGACTCTAATGTTAGTTTTTAGTGCTGTTGATAAAACAAGATATGTGCCTGAAAAAAACATAAATTAAAGTCAGTGCATTCAAAAGTACAGCATTACTGAAATCACATTATATTTTTCAGTAACGTGGTAATGTAACTGTACTGAATACTGTAATTACACTGGAGATTATAATTATGTTCTTACTTCCGATATAAAGGTTCTTCAATTATCTGAATGATGGTATGATAGGAAAAAAACCCCAATAAAAACATCAAACGTGACTCTTTTTTCCTGCACTACAAACAGCTGATGTTAGTTCATGGTGAAGAAAATGATGATGTCGTCCACAACCTCTGAGGTCTGGAGATGTGGAAATCAAATTTATCGTTATTGTACAAAAGGACAAGAGTGTGATGTAAAATGCAATCGGTGTCCAAAACGGAAACATTCTGCTGACTCGAACTCGACTCTTTGTAAGGATAAACTTTTCCTTGTGTTGTTGACTTTTGTGTTCAACCTTAAGCACTAGAAGCAAAAAAAAAAAACACTAGAACAAAACTCTTGAATGTTCTTTGTTATGATGAAGATTTGTGTCATTATCTATGTCGTAACTTACGAAGTAACTGGAAACCCCCGTTAAGCCTGCAATCCTCTTCTACGCCAGTCAGACTCGTTGCGGCGTTGACCTCACGTTTAGTTACATTTCTCGAGAAGTGCACGTCAGGTTGTGCTGAGGGTTACAGCGTAGGGTTAAGAAGGATTTCTGCATATGTTGTAAGTTACAGATAGACTTCCTGCTGAAGCATTAGGCATTAGCTTGATATTATTAACTACTAATTATGTAACAATAGGTCATGTTACAGAGCAATATATGAAATTAATGTAACAAGTAGTGTAACAAATTATTATCTTCATTGAGTCATTAAGTAATATACCACATTGTTTTAAAGAGAGGTAATAAGTAATGTGTAATATATTACTTTTTTTTAGTAGTAACTCCAAGTCATTGTAGTACTCTGTGGGCTGATGGGATACTGTGAATGGATTTGGGGGATCACTCTCTGTGGGTTAATCTCTAGTGGCCACCTGCCTCTCATAGTCATTTGATAACAATATTGATTACTGTCATTTTGAGAAGTTAACAGGTAATGTTTTTATCTGCGTTTCCAAAGTTGAGCCATCTGACTCTGCCCTCGAGAAGGGATTGAATTGATTTCACTAAAAAGTCCACGTACACAAAACTTGCAAGGTTTTTGAATGGAAGTGAAAGAAATCTCTCTATTTCATTTGCCTTCAGAACATCTTTGAAGAATTCTGTTGATTGCCTGTATGGCATTAAATGGATTACACCGAAAGTATAATGGGCCGCGCTCCTTCTAGGTTAAAAGGTCATTTGGAGTGCTCAGAGTACCAACCTGCACACAGAAATCTGCTTTCAGTCTCCATCAAGCTGCCTGCTTCATTTAACCAACATGATCAACCATAGAAATGGATTACAGGCTTCTTCCCTCTGCTCATAACCTTTCTCTTTTTTTCACTTATCTATAATGAAGTTGAGAACTACTTAAATTTAAGTTTCTTTTTATCAGCTCACGCTTGCTTTGTAGGCAATGTTTGTCAGATCTCAAGGGGTTGGTGGTGGTATTACAAGCAAAAATAGAATAGTGTACTTCAGGTCATAAAAGTATAATATTTTCTATCAAAAGAACGTTTAAATCCTGGGTAAAACCAAGGCTTGGTTTTCCCCAGACAGTGTTGCACAAAATCCAGCAACTAAAGATGTTCAAAGAATAAAGATAACCTCAGGCTAGGAAACAAGTGGAAAGAGTCAAGGACATATCACAGTCTTCATGACAAGAATTTTATTTTCTTTTTTTTTTTTATTACATTTTGCATTAAATTAAAGAGTTCTTTTTTTTTTCTTTACAACATACATTAAGCTGTGAATCAGATGTTAAGGAAGTGGAGAGAGTAGGGCAAAAAACTTTGTGACGTCACGATATCTTACAAGCTTACAAAGTTCAAAAGTTTGAGAAGTTGAGAAGAGAGTCGATTTGCATCTAACAGCAGTGTATTATAACAAGGGTGAAAGACAAAAAGGCACACACCAAAGAACCTCACTGTCCACAGCAGCCTTCAGCCTTTAAAACGCTCAACTTTTCTCTAATATCAAAACACTTGATGTTGCTGAATCATAAATGCACCCACAGCCAAAAGTACTTGTCTACACAGGATGTGGACATTTGACCTTCAAACCTAGACAGGTTCTCTTGTTCACATTCAGTGTGGACATGACAATTCATCCAGGTGGGAGACAACGCAACTGAGCATTTCAAAACCAGAAATACTCAGCTGAGGATAAGCCTTACTCCAGGCGTGGGAATGTTGCTGGTTCATGCACTCAGTGCACCGGAGGGTGTAAGTAAGGTGTTCAGACACTAATTTAAAGCAAAGTAGTTTTATGAAAGTCTGGAGTGAACACACGTCTATGCTTATCTGAACTTTGAAGGTCCTCGCTTCAAGTTAATCGATGCTATAACTGTTGCAGCTTTATCCCAGACCATGTTTTCGATGGGACGCGTTCCTCTCGGTTCATATTTTGAACTAATCCATTGCCCATGACCTCGTCACGTGCAACCATTCCCTTCGAGCATCTATGTACACATTAGTCAGGTCCCAGATCCTGCATGTCAGTCTTATTCGAGCTGTGGACTGAGACACTCTTGGCTTTCCTCCAGAAAGAATATTGATATCGAGAAAACTTTAACCTATCTACACATACAACACTAAGGGAGTGCTCCAATGACTTAAGTGTTTCAGTGTGGGGTGATCCATAAAAACCCTCAAGTAAAAAGGAAGTGAAATCATCTGATTAGTTAAACTCTCAGCCATTCATAAGGCTTTGATAACGAGAGTTAGTGAGGCAAAATAAAAAAAAAAATCTCTAAACTTCCCAAACTGTGTTCGCTTACAAAAAGGGGGTTAAATAATGTACAGTTTTTAATAGTGTTGTTTCAAAATGTCATCTTTTTTTTCTTTTCCACAGGAACCAGCCTGTTTATGCAACCGTCTAACAAATGAACGTTTCAATGCGCGCAAGAAGCCTCGACTCGTGTTAGTACGCTGGGTGTTCGCGTGTATCTCGTACTGTACGCTTGCTATGGTGCTATCGCAGTGCACCAAGGGAAGATACACCTACGTTGGCCTCCTTAAGCAACAAATGTTAATTGTTCCGTTAACCAATTAACCATCACTCCAAACGAACACCAAAAACAAGTAAAAACAAATACCAGGACTTTGTATAAAACAGGAAATCAAAAACACTCACAAAGTCTTTATCGACACTGCCAGCACAACATAAAGGGTCGTTTTAAGCGCATTAATGGCACAATCAGAAATGAATCACAAAGATGAGTGTGTGTGTGTGTGTATGTGTGCATGTGTTTATGTGTGTGTGCCAGAGAGAAAGAGAGAGAGAGAGAGTGTGTGTGAATGAAGAAAGGAATTGCTTCTTCCTCTCTTCCCTCTGGTCTGTAAGTGTGTTTTGTCTAGGGACCAGAATTACAACAATAACACCTACATTCTTTAATTGCATTTTTATCAAACAAGGGAAATATCATGACATAAGAAAACAAAAAGAAAATAAAAAAATACAACAAGGAGACAGAGTTAACAGCTATTAAAGAAAACATTGTCACTACTTCAGGGTGTAAGGCACAAATTTACATGTGGAAAAAGAAGCAGGCAAGACAGATGTTCCTATAATATCCTTTTTTTCGCCCGCCCTTCCGCGTGACGCCGCTAGAAAAGACGATACGTTCCAAGATGGAGGCACCGCTCGTTTGCTTGCAGCCTCACTTACAGCTTCCTTTTGTATGCAGATCCCCCCGTGCGGTTGCTGCAGCTGCTTCTCTTATATTTGCAACATGCAACAGTGAGCTTTGATGGCACCATAAAGCCAGCAACCAATCAGGACAAATGTTTGGGACTCACACAAAACCACAGTGCTGATTGCAGGAGTGAAAGGGTGAGATTCAGGATTTCTTTCTTTCTTTCTTTTTTTTCTTAAATGATTGGTCTAAAACAAAGGAGATTCTGGTCCGTAAAAGTAAAAGTCCTGGTCTGGCACAGTTTAAATAAATATCTCCTCGTCGTCACAGAGGTCACGTATATTCTCAAGCTGCAGGTCCCACTGAGCACACAGTAAGACCTAGTTGAACTTTAGTCATTAAGAAAGTTCTACTGGCTCCAGTTTAATGACTTTAAATATTTTCTTCCTCACTCTTGATTAATTAATATTAAAAGATCTCTTCTTTGTCCTCTTTCTCTCCAAGCCTAGAAAGTCAGTCTGTTTGTTTTTCAAAAGCACTTAATAAAAATAAATACAACAAGCTATTAGTATTAACAGTCATGTGTTATTCAGTCACCAGTACAGTAGAAGATTCTTCTGGCCCAGGCTTTCAGTCATGCCCAGGCAGGACTTGATTGCTGTAACACTGAGAGGCTTTTCACAGTTTCCGCCAGAACTCAGGCGGCTGTCTGTCCTTTCAGTCCGAACTCGTTCTCTCTGAGTGCTTGTTTGCTCAGATCCTCCTGTCCTCAAGGTATTGTACAACAATTATTCTCCAACCCCCTTGTGACGTCTTCGTGTGTGCTCTTACCAGCATGACGAAGTATCGAATCAAGTCTCAGTAAACAAAGACACCACAAACAAGAGAGCCACTGTCTTGAATGCTACAGGGTGCCAATGGATGAAATATTCAGGACAAGCATCATCTTCTTTTTCAGTAGCACATGTTCCCATGTGTGTTTACAGAGGAGCTGTGAGCCAGCCAGAGCATGAGCTCGATGACTGCCACAACCGACAACAACCATGGTATAATATTTACATATTTATATAAAAAGAAAGTGTTTTCTTTAGGAAAAAAAAACTGTGTTGCATTTCCACTGTACTGTACACCAAAAAACAAACAAAAACACGAAAAGGAGATGCAAGTTGTACAGTATTCCCTGTTTTTTCTCTCTGCCAGAAAACGCCTTTCACTACTGTCTGTTCACATTGGACCGACAGGCTAACAACCTAACTATGTGCCAGAGTCACTGGACTTGACTTTTGTGGAGAGCGAGACTACAGAGGGTTTGGGGGGGACATCAGGCTTGAGATATTTGACGCCCGTTCGAGGCAGTGATCCGTAGGAGCTCATTCCAGGCTGCCTTGACAGAGATATGCCCTGTGCTGTCATTTGTATGGAGTCCACCCTCTGAGGTGCAGGTGGTGGCGTCTCAACACGGTTGAAGCTGTGATGTCTCGCCAAATGGGAGGAGTTAGAGGAGTTGGTGTTGTGTTTCTTGAGGGCGGAGGATCCACAAGCACCAGATGCTGATCCTTTCCGAAGCCCGTAGACTGACGAGTGGACCTCCAGGCGTTTGCCCATCTGTGGGACAGCAGGTGGGATGGTGAGAGAGGCCTCCCGCTGGGGCACACGAGGTGGCAGCACCACATCTGGATCAGCCATGTTGAGGTTGTGGCACGGGCTCTTGCTTGTCTTGTACTCCAGGGTGGCCCCCTGGTCGTCCATTACACCGTGGCCCATGCTCATATCACTGTGATGGGGCTGCTCCACATACTCATGTTGGTAGGACTGCTGGTGCTGTTGCAGATGAGGCTGAAGCTGGTGCTGATGCTGCTGCAAAGGTAAGACTACAACGCTAGGGATGTGCCCCGGTGAGGCCCTGAGCGGCAGGTCGGTAGAGATAACAGGCGACCCCATTGGTGGCATGTCCTTGGTGCACGCGTTGATGAGGTTCTGGTTTCTCTCCCATTCACGGCTTCCCCGGCTGGGCTTACGACGCGGCTGCATGGGGGTGGATTCAGGCGTTGGCAGAGCCGCGAGGTCCAGGTGGTGTTGGTCTGCTTTTATGAGCATCTTCCCATTTGGCGTCAGTCTTCCATTGTGCATCAAAGGTGTGAGAATTGCCTCGGGGCGACCTTCTTTGGCCTGCGTCTCAAACAGACCCGTCAGCTTGGTGACGCTGTTCATGGATCCCCGGCGGGAGTGGAGGTGGTGGGTGTCCTTTTCTTTACGGCCCGTCAGGTCCATGTCTCGACGACGATGGTCACAGACGCAGTAGACAATGATGCCAGAAAAGATGGCGCCCATGGCAAATGCTAGGATAACGGCGATGGCCAAGAGGGTTACAGGAACCAGCTGGTCACGACCCTTCTGGTAGCTCTCACGGATCACGCCTGCAGAGAGACACAGAGATGAGATTCAGACAGGCAGACTAAAAAGAGATGCTTTGAAGCCAATTGTTTCAAAGAAAATAAAAGAGATGCTGAAAAAGATTCTTCTTAAAAGATGAAGCAAAACATAAAAAAACAGTTACAATAATTAAGATATCTTCTGGGCAAAAAGATTAACGGTTTAAATAATTTCACAAAAAACATGCAAATGCAGAAGGATTTATTCCATCATAGGAAACATCTATTCAAAATTGTAGCTTCAAGTAGCAAGATTCAATGTTCCCCCCCAAAATCCAATCTCAGAGTGAAAATGTGTTTTGGAGGGGTGATTATGATTCACATTTTAAATCCCAGATAAAACCTTCTGCTGAAATGAAAAAAGATATGAGCTCCGATAAAGGAACCTGAAATACCCGAGCCCTTTCTTCTCATAGATGCAAATGGAAGACTTTTCATAAAGCTTGGATCCAATCTCATGAATCACAGCGAATACATTAAAAAGCCTCTGATTAGGCGCTAAATCCAATGAGCTGTGTCATCAGTGTCTTATGAAAGCGCCACTTTCAAAGACTGGCAAAGACGCACTGTGATACGGCCAAATAAAAGATAATTCAATAAAGGAAGCTATGGAGCATTTTAGCGGTGGGTGAGCGGGAGCGGCAGGTTGTATTTAATAAAACAGGGTCAACAACAGACTGCACGCACGCACACATGAGCGTGGACACATGCACCTCCCACACATGCATGCTCGAAGATGATAGCCTGCAGCCTGTGGATGAATGCAGACATCTAATGCAGCACACTATTCTTTGGGTTAAACACACCGGTCCACAGCCGAGAGATTTATAATGCCTTCACACATGACCTGTGGCCCGTACAGATCAGTTACCACAGATAGAGGATTAGGCAGGTGGGCTCTATTGTGTAAAGGGGCTACAGCAGGGGCATCGCTCGTCTCCGCAACGTGACTCAGTTTCACATGTGTAAGGCATGTATGGATTCCTCAACACTGAGGAATCTTTACCCCAAAATGCTGGGAAAAAAATCCAAAACAAGCTGGAATGTGTGTGAAGTAATTTAAGCTGATATCCGTGAGTCTTTCCTGTACAGAGGAGGTTTGTTTACAATGAATCGGTGTTCTAAAATAAGCAGTAGGTGGGTGATATGATTTGTACAACAGCTTTTACAAATCAGACATTTTCATTTACTACTAATCCAGCTACAGGTGGAAAAGGTGGATGAAATTTTGATTTTTGTCCCTTTTGTTTCACTTCTTTGAGATTTCTCTTCCTGAAGTGCATTAATAAAATATTTCTGCTGCCAACTTCAGACTCTGTCTTATTAATCTTTTTTTCTGATATTTTGAAATTCAGTTTTTGCAATTTGGAACAGCGACACGCTGTGCAAGGAACAGGACAGCCTGAGTTATTATTGCAGATAATGAAATATACAATGGCTGCATGAATATAAACATTTGTTCACAGGCAAGCTGAACAACAGTTGTCAACAAGCAACAAGTAATTTCGTCCTTTTACAGTTTGCCGTCTTCACGAGTCACTTTCTTCATCTTCCGTGCAAATTTTTCAATTTGCCCTGTAATTTTTCAAAAGCAGTTTCCACCGAACAAACATTAGTTCCAATAATTCTCCGAAATCCTGAAGGAGCTGGTAATCATGTTTGGCTTTTCAGCTCAGCGGTGTCACTGAGGATGTACTTGGAGAGTATCTTCTTTCTGCATTTCCTCAGTGAGACATAACACAGACACAGAGAAAGCATGGTAATCTTTTCTCATGGATCTGAAATCCACACTGTCTTAAACTAACATCCATAATCTCACTCGCTGCAGTCATACTTCATTAGTCCAACAACATGAGTTAAAGCCCCTTTTTCCAAGCCGGAGTTAAGCACTCTTTAGTCTCTGTCTGGACTTTGAAGCTCAACCTGGATAAGAAAGGACACTTACATTTACCCAGATCATTCCTCATTTATTGTAAAAACAAAACTTCACTTTTCTCCTTAATAGAGTGCTGACAACATGCAGCACCGCCATAACTCACTAAAAGTTAAACAAAAGGTTTAAAAAAGCATCTTTCCCGGCCAAAATCTCTCCTTATCGAGGACACGCTCAGCCGTGTGGCTAGTGTGAGAAGTGATGAGCGTTATCTGCAGCGAAGCATCCACGTTTGACGAGTGTTACGCTGCGAACTTGCGTGATCAAATGGCCGGCCTGTCTGATGAAACATCTGCTTCCCATCTCATCCTGTAACATCTGAAAACGAGAGAGATACTTTTCTGCGCTGCTATCTTTAACTTTGACTTTCCACTGTCCTCACTTAGATCTTTCATTCACACTTTCTGCTACTTCTCTCCTTTGCAGAAACAATGAATCACTTTTTTGACTTTCTTTTTCTTTCACACCGTTCAGCCTCCATATGGTAAGTGTTCAATTCAGTGGAGACCGGGAAGGCTGTAATTACAACCTTGTGATCTTTCTAAGTTATCACCCTTTAGCAGAAACAACAGCGGCGGTGGGGGCTGGCTGCTCTTTGAGAGTTGCTGGGTTAAATATTTCAGCGCACACGGAAGGGATGTAAAAGGAATTCAGTTTCACTTGAGATCAGGAGACCTGGAAATGTTATGTAGGAAAATAAAAGTGCAAGCATAAACAAATACATTAGCAAATCTCTCGTTTTTCCATAATCCTTGTTAAAAGTAAATACTTTCATATGTCTCTGTCTGTGGAGCTCACATAGAAGCTGAAAAGAGGAAATCAAAACTGTAATGAATTTTCATGACAGTGAATTTATTACTGCTAAAGGTTAACTTTCTGCGACCGAGCGTTTGGACTTCATATTGAATAACAAAACCGGAGGGCGGCAGAGCCAAGTGGTTGTCCATTCTGGTGAAGGAGGTGAAGTGTGGAGCTGGATCTTTGTCTTCTCTTGTGGATGTGTGAGCTAAAGTTAAAACCCTATTTAACCTGCCCTGTAAGGCTCCTTTTTGGTCCTTTTGAAGCTTTTATTCTTTTTCTGCTCTCCTTCCTCCATCACTTACTTCTCCTGCACACGCAGACATTTCCAGAAGGTACTTAGCCCAAGGCCTTGGGTAAAACACAAAGAAAAAAAAAAAAGCTAAACTTTGAAGACTTCCATCTTTCAAGTGAGGAATTGTTTCTCATCTTAACATCAAAGAGGATGAAAGTTGCCACAGAGGACACCAAGGCCGTCTCAGTTGAATCACGGGACCTCAGGGTTTTGAATCAAGATGGCTATGCCGCTCATTTCTGATCATTTGCGATCTTTGTAAACTTTCTAAAACTTCCACTACTTGACCTTGAAAAGTATCAAAGTGTTGCTAAAACCCACAGATTTTCTGCTTTAGTCTCATCTTGTTGAGGTTCTGACTATACAGTGACTTATAATCTTCTGGTTTCGCTCTTGCCTCGCCCCCAGAATGCATCATAAGGCATCCTGCAGTTCAACACTTCTCTCAGCGGATGAATTGATTTGAATTTCACACCGCCTCGAGCCTCAACATTCAGATATTAAACACATATCTCAGATACTCAGATATGTCTTGCTGTCAAAACAGGCCGGGTCGGCAACACTTACTTATAAATCAGAAACATTGTAATCTATTGTGACTGGAACTTGTGAATGCTCTCTCTCTATCTGTCTGACACACACAGATGCTCTTCCACTCTTTTAATCTTTTGAGACGCACCAACTGACTTAAGCCCACAGAGCTTGTCTTTGTGTTGTTGCAAAGAAAACTTCAAAGGTAGTTAAAAATCACAGAGGGGTTACAGAGAGGGCCCTAACCTCTGACTGCGAGCGACTGCATAAAGACATTGTCTGCAATATGATAAAAATCTTAATTGGACTTAACTGCTACTTACTATGCTTCACTCGCTGAAAGATGAAACAGTGGACCTTACCGACTACAGACAGAAGGAAGGATGAAAAAGCAGATAATGTTAAGTTGTGTGCATTTATTTACACTGACGCGAGAGCTCGAAAAACGCCCTATTTTTTCATTAGGAACCAGTTTGTTGTCATCTTTTAAAAAGGACACTGGTATTTGGATGGTGACAACAATTCATTAACTTCTATTTAAATTCCCTGTTCGCAAATTATCCCATTAAGTCTTGTGTATGTTTGGGTTAAGAGCCACTTGCATTAATGGTGTTATTCAATATTAAAGCATTCATCAGACAATCCTGAGTCGGAGCAATGCATACTGATGAGCGAGTTAAGATATAATTAAACCCCTAATTATGTTATTCAGCACCTGAGGTATTAACATTGATGTACTAACCTATCCAACTCCCTGCATACAAACTGTAATATTTAATAGTCACAAGATATCAGCATAAATTAAACATCCCATTTTTCATCAGCTATTTGATGCCTTGACTTGACAGCGCTCCCGTTCGGATTACTGGGTGATAGATTTTTACATGCTGATTTACTGAACGCAAAAAGGTCCCTCACATTAGAGTTTAAGTGCAACTGTTAAAACAGCTTGTCACTATTTAAACAATGTAGACTTTTAAATTATGTGTGCATTCGTGTCTATAATCTCGAGTTCTTTCAATTAATATTCAATCTCGATGAGTCACTGTAATACAGCTGGTGACCCACCGAAGTGTATTTCACCATGTGGGCTGCAGAAAATGACTTCTGTGTATTACTGGAGTGCTGTGTGTGTGCTAATACGCATTGCATTTCATTGAATCCATAAAGGCAGCCACTGGTAATTGTTTAGAAATGTTTTAGTGCTCAACAAGAGAACAAAGCCTCGGCTTGTATCTACTTGATGAGGGCTCACTCATGGACAACGTGAACATAACTGTTTAAATCCAGTTCAAAGTATAATAATGACAGCTGAATGTGGGTTAGACAAGCTTCAAGAGCACAAAGGGATGAGCCGCAGTGATATGAGATTCAGTCTCACATGGGCGAGAGACAAAGGAAAGCTCTTGTACGAACCGTCAACGGTTA